ATTTTCACTAGTTAAAGATTAAAGAACAATTAACAAACGACTTTGATAATTTCATTGAAAGGAGAAGGAATATTGTTAAATTTTTACCAAAGATGAGGAAGAATGTAATACACACAATTGAGAAACGCAACTATTTTCTTATAAACTGTTCAAGTTAAAAAGAATAATATCTTTGTTTTTTATTATTATTGCATTGAAAAAACTAAACTTGTAGTGTTCAGTTTTTTGGTATTGTAATTTCAATAATTTATTGAGATGTCTCGAAAGTTTAAACAAGAGTCAGAGTTGACAAAGACAATGTTGAATGTTTTGGGAGTAAAAAAGTAAGCCTGTAAAAACCTTCGTTGAAGTCAGCCTAAAGAAACCTCCGTTGAGCATTTGGTGCAGCAAATGCTTAACAAGCACTTTTGATAAAAAAATTAGCAAATTTTTTTGAAAGCGTTGGGATGCAAAATATCAAAAGTACATTACTAAAAAGAGACAGGTAACTGTATTCATAAATCTTGCCTTTTAATGCATAAAAGAAACAGCGTGCAACCGTCTTAACGAGTTAGAATTTATAAAAAGTAATATTTTCATTGATGCAAATCAGTTAAGTATGCGGTAGGGAGATATTGATGTCACTTGACTTTACATTAATGATAAAACCCTCAGTTTGTAAACTGTGAAGTTGATGGTACTCCAAACGGTTTATTTTATGCTGGGAGAGAGAAAAAGTGTCAAAAGATGATAAGAGAAAATAAGGAATGCGTAACTACACATATTTATGCTTCCTTTTTGGGAGATATAGCAACGTGTTACATTGTGGCTTCAAAAGAAGCAGTTAAAATAATTCCAAATCTCCTTATCTCCACAAATGACAGTGGCATCCACACAACTGACGTTAATGACAGTTAACTAACACAACTGACGTTACTCAGCTCCTTGATGAAATCAATCAACATTTTCACTCTGAGGGCAGAAGTGTTAGATCTACACTTTGTTCTTTGTTTATGACAATCAACAGGGAAAGTTTCATGCATATACTTCCAGAGTTATGGCCAAAGTCGGCATCAAATCAAACAGTTGTAAATACAGGTTAAAAAGTTGGAATTTTAAGTGGAGGAACCAGTGTTGAGTGGATACAGGAAGATAAGTTCTTAAGAACCGGGCTGTGTATTAATTAAATTACTGGAAATAATCAATCATCAACAGCACATATAATATCATCTCTAAAAAATGTTCGTTATGGCTTAGCAAGCAAATGGAAACTTAAACACCAAAGTGCCATGGTAGCTTATCAAATAATATCTAATAAATCAAATTTGCAGCACAGACATTCTTGGCATTCTTCCGTACATTTAAAAAATGTTACAACTTGTAGTTGTTGCTTGGATTTTCTTTTTTTATTAGCTTACTCCTTTTTCGCTTTGTCTTCCTTGATTGATGAAACCGTTTCTAATTATTTTTCCCCATCTACTGAGTCACGAACTTGGGTAACTCTAACACTTTTAATGTTCATTTGTTACCCAGTGGGCATGCATCATCCGGGAAACGTCCGTCGGACGTCTTACGAACGTCTGGACGTTCGTTAGACGTCTGAAGCACGTGCCCCGGACAACATCTGCCAAATAGGTAACACCTGGGTAACAAATGAACAATGAAAGTGTTAGAGTTACCCAAGTTCACGGCTCAATAGATGGGGAAAAAATATTAGAAACGGTTTCATCAATCAAGAAAGACAAAGTCAAAAGGAATAAAATAAAAAATAAAAAAAGGAAATCCGAGCAACAATAACAGGTTAAAGTATTCCATAAATATAAGGAAGAATGGCAAGAATGTTTGAAGAAATCCGATAAGAATGTTTGTGCTGCAACTAAGCTTTGAGAATACTTGTGTTGCCATAACGTTTTAAAATTCTCCATGCAGTAAAGCATCATACCGTGGTGAAACTGGCTCAAAACCTATTATGATCAAACTATTTTGTAAAAGAGGTACCAAAAAATGCCTTCAGTTCAAATCTGATAAAGATAATGTTGAAGACCTCCAAATAATGTTGAAGATCCATCCAGAATACAATGTATTTTTCTGTTTTCGCTGATTAAGTCTCATTGTTATTATTTATATTTTTTGTTTATCAAATCAAGTTGACTTGAAAAACTTAAAAAAAAAAATTAATTTCAATTTATTTTTAATTCTTAAAAGAAATCAATGAAGTTTATTATACAGTTTTAAGAATCGGTACCTCCAAATAGTAAAATCGGAATAGTGTCGCAATTAGTAAAATTGTAATAGTGGCCCATATAGTTAATATATGAATATATGGGAATATATTTTTTTGTCTTTGACACTGTTAATTAAACTCATTTAGGATATTATTCCTTTTTCTATTTTCGACACAATTCATTAAGTTTATTTGCGACACTACTCCATTTTTTTGTTTTTAACACTATTCTGATTTTACTATTTGCGACATTTTTTTAATTTTCAACACTATTTATTAAGCTCCATTGCAATATTATTCTTTTTTTTATTTTGGACACTATTCATAAAATTAATTTGCAACATTATTCTTTATTCTGTTATTCGACAATCAATAAGGCGATAAATTGCGACACTATTCTTTTTTTACATTTTCGGCTATCAAAATTTTGCGACCCTATTCCGCCACACCATAATAATTTGTTGCACAGCTGAGAAAATGTTTTTCCAACTTTTTATTCAGGCAAAACACAGTAGCTGTGGATAAACGTATGTATTTATTTATTTATTT